CCCAAACAACGCAATGAAAATAGTCAATTTAATAGAAGTTAGGAAAGTGCACAAACATTCCAAGTAGCATCCAAATATTTGTCATATATGACCTTTATACATGCAATTCAACCCAAATTGCTGTCCAAGATACTGCATTTGTCTCATTCACAAAACCTGACACTGCCTATTCACTAGAACAAATATGTCCACCATATCTAATGGAGTGGAGCAAGACGCCGAATATATGTTTCTTACTTCCAAACATGATTTGGTTCCTCAAAGAGTATACATCTAATATAAGCTGATAAAGTATCTATGACAAGTTAATATTATTTTACATATCCTTAGAATGAAATAAACCATATAAATGGTTTGGATTAAGTCTACAAGTGAAACTGTGAAAGAACACCAAATAGGTAAACTAATTATCGTCAACTGTAAATTAGCTTTTGACATAACTGGGCCATAATGTTGGAATTGGTTAGTGGTCATCTAATATCCAGATACCAATAAAATGAACAAAATTGAATAAACAGGAAAACTAGAATTGGGTTTGAATAGAAATATAGTAGGCCTCCCCACCCCATTTTTAACAGCAAAAGTTAATACTTACTACTTAGTAGTAATAAAATGCTCTCCTGGTTCCATATCGAGAACCAAAACAATAACATGAGTAAAAATATTGACGAACGACCCAAGAAAAGTTCTGGAGCTCCAACCTGAGTTATGAAATAATGTCTTTACCAACACAAATCACTGAAGAGTTATACGAAATCAATCAACAAGAATGACAAAAATATGTCCATGATACACATTAAGGATAGCTATAGATGGAAAAGATCATGTACGAATAAGCATATTCATGCATGTAATAAGAAATACCAGCAATTGCAGCTAAATGTATGCTTTATAACACAAATCACGAAACGATGACCATACCAAGCCTTAGGAAGTTTGTCAAAAATGCTATCACCCAGAGACAGCATGGGCCGACCAAACCGTACAATCTTCTCACCCGAGGGAGGAAGAGCAGCATCACCATCAGCAGAAGCAGCATTGTTGTACTCCACAAATAGGTATATTCCATAACCAATCATGGCAAAACCCACCAGAACTAATAAGAAGTTCAGAAGCTTCAACAAGCATTCCCAAAAACCCTTACAAGCCATTCTCCACAAAAAGTCTATATCGTCAATTGATCTTCTTCAACTTAATTCCTGCAAAGTAACTACCCAAATTACATCCCTCTTGACCAACATAAACTTTAATCGAAAGGCACCTAGAAAAGAAGCTCCAAAACTAAGAAAAAAAAAAGTGCCTACTCTGCCAAACGTGTTACAAGACAAATTAGTACTAAATTGCCAATCCTAGTTAGATTTTTCTGCCAACTCAATCAGGTCTTTCGCTGCAAAGTAACCANAATGCACCCAGAAAAGAAAGCTCCAAAACAAAGAAAAAATATGTATCAAAATTGTTACAAGACAAATTAGTGCTAAGTAGCCAATCACAAATATATTTGTTGCTGCCAGTACCCAGTAGCTTAGACGAATAACGCAAAAGGAACAACAAAGGGCATGAGCAACTTCATACCAATTTGAATTCAGAGTGCGAAAAAGCACTATGGATCAAATCTATTTGCAATTACGTGGAGAAAAAAAACTCCATTAAAGCAATTCCTATTCGCAGACATAGGCACATGAGATGGTGAGCTGTGTTTCTAAAAGGATTTGGAAGGAAAAAAAAAAAAAAAAATGGCGTCAAAATGTATGAACAAAGAGAGCTTGTTTAAACACTAATAATTTATCAATCGATGAACTTTTTCGTAACAATTGTAAAGTTTTTAAGGTGGGCTTAGATTGAGGGTTGGGCCATCTTTTCAGTTCGTGAGTTGAAGAATAAGGCCAATTTTAGAAAATCTAGTCTAAATATTTCACTAATTAAAATAATCTATATGTTACAAGGAAGCTTATGAATAAATATATTATAAATTTTTTCGCCACATACTATTACTTAATTAGAAACTCTGTATTTCATTTCAAATATCAAAGTTTTTGAAAAAAAAAAAAAAATTTACGTTCTATAATTTTTATGGGATACCTAAAATCATTATATACCAATTTTAAACTAAATTTTCATAAATTAATTATAAATTGTTAAATAATATAAAATAATTATTATGTTTAATGGAATGTTAAATTTTGAAAACAGTATAAAAGTTATTTTTTTCTTACCAATTATATATATATTTAAATATTAAAAATATATATTTTTAAAAAATTAATTAATATTTTTAATTAAAATATTAAAAATATTAATTAAAATATCGACTAAGAAAGAAAAATTTTAGCTAAATATGCTGCCTATAATAGTAGTGATGTGCATAAAACTTATTCTTTAATTTGTAACTTTACAATTTTATTGTCAGTGATGTGCATAAAACTATATTTTTTTTTTTAACTTTACAATTTTATTGTCACTCTGTTTATTAATTAATGTGCCATTTTGTTGATTGAAATTTCGACTGTAACCAATTATACTGATAACTTTAAAAATGACCAACCCAAAAGGATAAAGATATTATTTATATTGTGGACAGATAACTAATGCCGTGTACAACGGGAAAAAAAATTATAATCGATAATAATTTATTATATATATATATATATATATATATATATGTAGGGTATGTACATATAATTTAAACTTAATTAATCCTTGACATAATCAAATTGGCCTCGCCGGTGCATGAGCATAGGTAAAAAAATACCAGATCTTAATAATGTTATTCTTTTTAGAAAATATGTACCTGTTATTTTATTTACTTTTCAATTGTCTCTTATTATCAATTACTATTAAAAAATACAATTCTAAGAGTATTACTTATGGTAGTATTTTTTAAACATATACTTGATTATCTAAATAATCGATTCTTAAATTTTCTAATTTCTTTTTATTTTGATTTAACTATTCTATTATTTTAATATATACAAATAAGAAACATAAATACAAGAGTGTATTAGTGTAACAACAACAAATGTTGCTTTAGGCTGCATAAATCAGTTGTGCTTTTTCAATAAATTTAAACTAGTACGTACGCCGTACGATGCACGAGACAAAAAATATTAAATATGCTAATTTCACATGCTATGTCCATTTAAGTCTAAAAAATAATAGGATTATTAACTATTTTCCACCTCGTTTAATTAGCGTTAAGTCAAACAAACAATAGGGTTATAACTATTTTACACTTCTTTTAATCAATGTTGTTTTTTAAAGACATATGAACATGTTAGTGCTAGCTTGTAAAATAATTAATATTAATTATCTCTCTAACATATTTATATTAATATAAATTGGATTTTAATATATATATATATATATATTTAATCTTTGATATAAGAGAAAATAATAATTTACTTATTCTTGTTTACCAATAATATACAAATAAATTATAAAGAACAGTTAATATATTACAATTTTAATTTTTGACCATTAGTAATATTTAATGTATCTGATCATTATATCTTAAATGGTAAATTATATTAATTTGAAGAATAATTTATTTTTTATATATATCAAAATAAAGCTTAAAAAAAATTATATTGGCAAAGATTGATTCACCATCTTGATTTCGCCTGATTAATTGGAAGAAAAAATTCTACAAACCTGTTATGATTTTTTATAAATATTTTTGGATAAAAAGTGAAATTTTTAGAAAAAAAAATATTAATATTATGGTTAGACATAAAATATGTTGTAATATTTATCTTGACCAAAATATTATTAGCATGAATCACGAGAAATCAATCTTGTAATTTATTATAATGGATATCAATGAATTTATTGCAGATATTAATAAAATTATTTAAGTAAAAAATATTTTTTATCATATCTGATTTTGGTCTTATTTGGAAACGTGTATATGGAAGCAATTAATGCATATATTTAAAAAAAAATTAAAAAAAAAAGTATGCATTAAATGCTCCTAAAATTTTTTACTACTATTTTTAATAAATGGTTATTCTTATTATATATATATATATATATATATA